GCGAGGATGCAGAGAAAAGAGAACCCTCCTACACTGTTGGTGGGAATGCAAGCTGGTGCAGCCACTCTGGAAAACAGTATGGAGGTTCCGCAAAAAGTTAAAAATAGAGCTACCCTATGACCCAGCAATTGCACTACTGGGTATCTACCCCAGAGATACAAATGTAGGGATCCGAAGGGCCACCTGCACCCCAATGTTTATTGCAGCAATGTCCACAGTAGCCAAACTATGGAAAGAGCCCAGATGTCCATGGACAGATGAATGGATAAAAATGTGGTGTGTGTGTGGGTGTGCACAATGGAACATTATGCAGCCACCAAAAAATGAAATCTTGCCATTTGCAATGACGTGGATGGAACTAGAGGGTATTATGCTAAGCGAAATAAGTCAATCAGAGAAAGACAATTATCATATGATCTCACTGATATGTGGAATTTGAGAAACAAGGCAGAGGATCATAGGGAAAGAGAGGAAAAATGAAACAAGAAGAAACCAGAGAGGGAGACAAACCATAAGAGACTCTTAATCTCAGGAAACAAACTGAGGGTTGCTGGAATAGAGTGGGTGGGAGGGATAGGGTGGCTGGGTGATGGACACTGGGGAGGGTATGTGTTGTGGTGAGTGCTGTATATTTTGTGAGACTGATGAATCACAGACCTATATCCCTAAAACAGGTAATACATTATATGTTAATAAACAAAAAAAAAAGCCTATCATCTAAATAGATGGAGGAAAAAAAGCATCCACCAAGATTCAACATCCATTTATGATAAAACTATCAACAAAGTGGGTATAGAGGAAATGTACCTCAACATAGTAAAGGCTATATGAGAAGCCCCCAGCTAACATCATACCCAATGGAGAAATACTGAATGTATTTTCCTCTAAGATCATGAACAAGACAAGGATGCCTACTCTCATCACTTTATTCAACACAATATTGGAATTCTCAGCCAGAGTAACAATGCAAGAAAAATGAAAGGAATACAAATTAGAAAAGAAGAAACAAAACTCATTATTTACAGATGACATATGACATAGAAAAGTCTAAAACTTCATCAAAAAACTTTAGAATAAACAATTTATTGTTTTATTCTAATTTAGTAAAGTTGCAGAATACAAAATTTAGTAAAGTCATAGAATACAAAATCAGTATATGAAAATGTTCATATTTCTATTCACTAATAATGAACTAACAGAAAGAGAAATCAAGAAAATCCATCTACAACTGCATCAAAAATAATAAAATACCAGAATAAATTTTATTAAGGTGAAAGATCTGGACACTGACAAGTATAAGACATTAATGAAAACAAAGTGAAGAAAACACAAGTGGAAATTCTATGCTCATAAACTAAAAGAACTATTATTGTTAAAATGTCCATGCTACACAAAGCAATGTATAGATTCAATACAATCCCTATGAATATTCCAATGACATTTTCAACAGAAATGGAACAAATATTCCTAAAATTTGTTTGGAACCACAAGAGAGAACCAAAGCAATCTTAAGAAAGAAAAACAAACCTGGAAGCATCGAGGTCACTAATTTCAAATTATATTACAAAGCTACAGTAATCAGGGCACCTGGGTGGCTCAGTCAGTTAAGTGTCTGCCTTTGGCTCAGGTCATGATCCCAGTGTTCTGGGATCAAGCCCCGCATTGGGCTCCCTGCTTGGCGGGAAGCCTGCTTCTCCCTCTCCCACTCCCCCTGCTGTGTTCCTGCTCTCACTATCTCTCTCTCTCTCTGTCAAATAATAAAAATATTTAAAATAAACAAAAAAAAATCTACAGTAATCAAAACAGTATGGTACTCACAAAAACACAAACAAAAAAAAACAAAACCAGACACAGATCAATGGAACACACAAAATAGAAAGCCTCCCTCCCTCCCAGAAAAATCCATGCAGATATCATCAATTAATCTTCAACCACCGAGCCAAGAATACACAATGGGGAAAGGCCAGTCTCTTCAATAAATTGTGTTTGGAAACCTGGAGAGCTACATGCAAAAAAAAAAAAAAAAATGAAACTGAACCACTAAATTATACCATATACAAAATTAACTCAAAATGGATGGGGCGCCTGGGTGGCTCAGCTGGTTAAGCGACTGCCTTCGGCTCAGGTCATGATTCCGGGGTCCTGGGACCAAGCCCCATGTCGGGCTCCCTTGCTCAGTGGGGAGTCTACTTCTCCCTGTCCCTCTGCCCCTCCCCCTGCTTGTGGTCGCTTGTGCTCACTCTCTCTCAAATAAATAAATAAAATCTTTAAAAAACAAAAACAAAAAACAAAATTAACTCAAAATGGATTAAAATCCTAAACATAAATCTAGAAAGTATAAAACTTTTGGAAGACAACATAGGTGGCAAGCTCCTTGAGAAAGGTCTTAGAGATGATATTTTGGATTTGACATCATAAGGCAAAGGCAACAAAAGAAAATAAGTGGGACTACACCAAACTAAAAGGCTTCTGCACAACAAAGTGAAAGGCAACCTAGCAAATGGGAGAAAATATTTACATATCATATATCTGATAAGGAGTTAATATCCAAAATCAATTTAAAAAAGCATACAATCCAATTAAAAAAGGGGCAGAAGTTCTGAATAATTTTCCTAAGAAGATATCTGGATGGCCAACAGGTACCTGAAAAGGTGCTCATTCCTCACTAATTATCAGGGAAATGCAAATCAAACCACAATGAGATACACCTCACTTCTGTTAGTATGGCTATTATCAAAAAGACAAGAAATAACCAGTGTTGGGAGCACCTGGATGGCTCAGTCAGTTGAGCATCCAACACTTGGTTTTGGCCAGGTCATGATCTCAGGATCGAGTCCTGTATCAGGCCCTGTGCTCAACGTGGAGTCTGCTTGAGATGCTCTTTCTCTCCCTCTGCCCCTAGCCCCATTCATGCACGCACATACCCTCTCTCTCTCTCAAGTAAATCAATCTTTAAGAAATAACAAGTGTTGGAGAGGATGGGGAGAAAAGGGAACCCTTGTGCACTGTTGGTGGGAATGTAAATCGATGCAGCCACTATGGAAAACACTATGGAAGTACTTTAAAATACTAAAAATAAGGGCTAGTATCCAAAATCTATAAAGAACTTATCAAACTCAACACCCAAAGAATAATCCAATCAAGAAATGGGCAGAAGACATGAACAGACATTTTTTGAAAGAAGACATCCAAATGGCCAACAGACACATGA